GGTGCGTCTCGTTTTGGTGCCCGCGCCGCGTGCCTTGCCCCGCGTTTTTGTTCATTTTTTAGCGTTTTGCAATTTTTAATATTTTTCGGCGGGGRAAGGTGTTATTTTTTTGGTGCCCTTTTTTCGGGGGTGGCGGCCGCGGGCGCGCAGCCCGGCGCGGAAGATGGAGGCGGTGATCGAGAGGGAGTGCGGCGCCCTCGGCGGCCTCTTCCAGACCATCATCAGCGACATGAAGGTACCGGGGGGCCGGGGGGGACCCCGCGGGGCGGCGGGGCAGCGCCTGGCGCTCCCGCCCGCAGCGCCTCCCAGAACCGCCGCGTTCTCTTTTTTTTCCCCTAATTATCAATTTTGCAATTTATTCTGTTTTTTCCCCCTTTTTCCCCACCTTATTCACCTGTTTCTCCCCCCTCTGCCGCGTTGCTTTGGTGCCACGGCCGGGTGGGATGCGATGCCGTGGGGTGAGGCCGCTGCGCAGGTGCCACTGAATAAAATAAATGAAATAAATGAAATAAATGAAATAAATGAAATAAACCCGGGCAGTTTCCCCGCAGGGCTCGTGCGGCCACTGGACCCGCTCCATTCGGAGCGAGGGCCCCCGGAGCGCCCGGCGTCCTCGGGGAGCCCCAGGGATGCAGGTGCCCATGGAGGGGCTGGGGCTGAGCAGCCGCCCCGCGTTTCGGGGCGCAGGAGAAGCTGCCGGCGCTGGGTTTTGGGTTTGGGCCGGGGTCTGCGTGTGCTTCGGGAGGCTCTGCACCGCTAGGTCAGGCTTTGCTGGAGCGGCGTGGCCAGCGGGCGGCATGCGGCTGCTGCAGTCCTCGCTGCCCTCCTTGCCCTGCATTCTCTGGGCTAAAGCACCTGCAGGAAATCCTGAAATGGGCAAATCCTGGAATCTCTCCGTGCACGGAGCCTSCAGGAGGGCCCCGGGTGAAGGGTGCGCGTGGGATCTCGCACGCGGCACCTGTGCTCCGGTGCCTTTCTCCAGGTGATGCCGCTTTCCTGCTGCTGAGCAAATGGCGCGGTGTGTGTTTGCCTTTCCCCCTCGCATGGGAATGCGAGGAGCGGGCGCAGGTGCCAGCCTGGCTTTCGCCAGGCCCGCTAGTGGAACCTGTTTTGTGAAGCACGGATTGCGGAGGCGCCGCGTGGGGCGGCCGCCTGGGCGGCACGTATTCCAAAATKTTGGAATTGGGAAAGGACGGCAGGGATGTGCTCGCGTGGCACGGGCAGAACAAATAAACCCGGATAGTGCATGGATTGTGCGCAAAGGACGCTGCCGGCTCCCAAAGAGCAGCCCTTTCYAAGGGCCGCCCTGGATCCAGGGATCCGCGCCTTGTTGCTGCCGTACGGGCTGGATTTTCCCTCTTGGTGCCTGCAAGTCAGCAGCGTGGCCCGAGGCGGCTCGTGAGCGCTCTGTGGCGGCGATAAAGGTGCCCAAGCAGGAGGTGGTTGGAGCGACGCGACTGCTTCYGGTTTTCGGAGGAGCGCGTTGACTTTGGAACCTAATGAGGACTGTGTCCGTCAAGGTGATTAACGTAGCGCGTCAAGGTGATTAACGTACCGCGTTTCGATAGCAGGATCGTTTGGTGGGCTGTGGTCGCTCAATCTGCCTATACAGTTTTTCTCTAGAACCCCCACATTTCATCCGTTCTTCTGCCACAGTATAGTTGTGTAATTAATACTCAACAAAACAAGCTCCCAAATAATTAAGTTTAAAGCTCAGTGATGTGGGGAGCGCTTTATAACTGAGTTAAGTGTAAAAATGAGTAGTAGTGTCTGTCACGTCTRTATGGCAACCTCAGGTGCAGCTGGAGCTTCCTTTTCCCGACAAGGAAATCTGTGCCTTCTGTGCCGATGGAGGGCCTGGTTTGTTAGGCCGAGCACATCTGGACGGGGTTATTTGTGTCAGGTCCACAGCTGGACCAGCGCTTGGCAGGTGTGCCCTGAAACTGGGCTTTGGTGCTTCAGCGTTTCCACATCGCGTTAAAGAACCATAAAGACAGGAGGAACCTCCAGTCGCTTCAGGGTTTTGGCCATTCCCAAAGCGCTGGTGTCGCTTGCGGTACCTCCTCAAACACGTCGCACTTGGCATTTGTTATGGGCTTGTGCAAAACCTTTTGCAAAGTGGTTGAAGTTCATCAAAAACAACAGCAACTGAGCCGTAGGTGCCCTGGCAGGAGCAGTTTTGAGCCGTGTGTCCCAGCGTTGGGAGGTTTCCTTGTGAACGCAACGTACCTTCTGTAGCTCCTCCTTGGAAGGGAGTGTTAAATCCCGCTGGATTGCAGTGCGTTTCTGGCAGCTGGGAAATGAGGTGCCGTAATGTGCTGTTAACCTCAGTATTCCTTGCAGTGCCAGACAAATCTGTGGAGGTGACTCCTGGGGAGGGCCTTTTGAGCAGGATTCTGGGAAGCTGGTGTCTTTTCCTGCAGAAAATGCTCTCTTCAATTCTGCTTTTCCCTTTGAGCCTACGCTAGGGCATCGTGTCCTTGCAGCTGCATCCTTCYCTTCTATTCTGAAGGGAAAAAAGGGAAGAAGGAAAATGCCCCTGGAAGCTTTGTAATTGTCAGCATTTGAGGTTCTGCACTTGCTCCATGTCGTTTCATGGGCTCTTTGATTTTTGAGCGTGAGTTTTGGCAGGGAAGGGGCCTGCTGTGYGTGCAGCACCTGACACAGCGAGGTGGGAAGACAAATCAGGAGCACTCAGGCCCGCCCAAGTCTCCTGGGTGTTTACTTAAGCTGGGTTTAACTAATTCTTCATGGATTCATGCCCCTGGCTGTGAGGGACGTTCAGATATGAGAAGGGCTCCAAACTTCATCCCATGGGTGAAGCAGAAGGGCAGATGCCCCACGAGAAGTGCAAGTTAGAGGTGTAGCTACAGGCAGGGACGTTGTCTTTTTAATTTTTTAGCATGTGCACCTTATTTATAAGATTCTAGCTGAAATCTCAGTGACATCAGCCCTTCTCTTGTGGCATAGTGCTACTTTAATGTTCGTAAAGAGATGGACCCTCTCCTGCCCATTGCAGTTGGTGAGCTCTCCTGGGCCACGACACACTAGGTTATTTCTTTCAGCTGTTCAAAGCTGTTGGTCTAAGCGAAAGAGTGAGAACCTACAGTGACGGGCGTCAGAAATATTTCAGTTTCTGCAGTCTCCTACCTACCCTTCAGCTATGACTGGTGCTAAGCAGCTTTTTCATCTTGTTTTTTTGTGCAAGATGGGGATGCGGTGGTCACATTAAGAGCCATTGGGTGAGTGGGGCAGGTTTGCTGGCGAGGGATGGCCTTGTGCTTGGCAGAAGAAATCATGTGAAGAGAGCGGGGCAGGTTTGTTAGCAGGATAGGAAGTGCTGGGCYGGTTACTCCTGCAAGGCCTCCGCTGCATGCCAGGAGAACCTGGCAAATTGGTGGTACTTTGTTCTGCAGCCATCAGACAGCTCCTCTATGGGCTGGGGTCCTTCTGGATGTGAGGAATGGCAAGTTCAGTGAYTGTAAGGTCTAGATTCAGTCCAGCTGTTAAAGATAATTAGTTTAAAGAGTAAAAAGTGYGGTGCAGGTACAAGCTTGGAGAAGAAGAGGTGTCCTGGTCTCCCATGTGTGCTGGTTATTCCCAATCCAGAAAAAAAAACCCAAAACATTTGACCGCTTTTCCACTCCCAAAAGCATGAGATGAGTTAATTCCTGCTCTGTGCAGCTGAACCTTTCTCAAGATTTGCTTTAAAGGATTTACTACCAACGCCTGGCTGGTGGCACCGACCTAACCCCGCTGCCTGCCAGCAACCTGCCTGCCCAGGCAGCTCGTGGCTTCCCTGTGCTCKGCGCACAGCTGCGCTGTCTCGCTGGAAACATCTCCGAGGCGAGGGAGGAATGAGCTGCAGGGGATGAGCGATGGTGCAGGAGGAGAGCTGCCGATGCCAGCTYGAATACGGGAGCGCCACGCAGCCCGGAGACTGGTTTTTAGGATGTGTCCTTCCTTGATACAAATAGGGTTTTTTGAGAGTCCTGTTGGTTTATACAACCAGGTAGCTTTTCTTAAATGCATACGAGGCCAGTTTGTTTTTCTGGCATATGGGGGCRGGAGTTTCTCATGCCTTTACAGAATCACAGAATGGTTGAGGTTGGAAGGGGCCTCTAGAGATCACCTAGTCCAGCCCCCTGCTCCAGCAGGGACACCCAGAGCACGGGGCACAGGGTTGCATCCAGGTGGGTTTGGAGACCTCCAGAGAAGGAGACTCCACAGCCTCCCTGGGCAGCCTGTGCCAGGGCTCTGTCACCCTCACAGGAAAGAAGTCACTATCTTCAGTACAAAATGGGAAGAAAAGTTGGGCTTTTAGATGGATCTTAAAGGCCAGAAGTCACTGCAGTTGGTGCATTCCTTTCCTGTATCTCCTGCTCTGCAGACTGTGTGTTTTCAGTCCCTGAGGAACATTTCGAATGTCCATGGCCTGCCCAGAGTCAGCGTGGTACTGAAGAGGAGCAGAAAGGTTTACGTGACATAGATGAGAATAGGAAGGAACTGTACTTATGGAGTGCAGTTTGGTTTGCTGCTTGGTCTCCTTCAAAGCACACAAAGATGGTTTTGACTTGGTGCCACAAAGAGGCCGCTGTAGGATTGCATGTGCCTCCTCCRGGGTGTGTTTTCCAATGCAGCGTTAGGGCTGCCGTGATGCCGCCCGGTGCCGCGCGCTGCCCCATGCGCCGGTGTCTGAGCTGCCCTTTGTGGTGACTATTGACTCCTTCCTACGGGGCCGAGACGGGCTGGCTGCCGAGCTGTCCGGCAGCCTGGGAGACAACATGTCTGGCCACTTTGTGGTTAGGACCAGAGGACCTTTCATCTTCAAAGGGCTCTGGAAGTGTGTGACTTAGCTCCTAAGAATGGCTCCCATTTTGCAGGAAGGCAAGACACTGCTGCAGGTTTGGTGGCTTCTGCTCTGTTCCCCCGGGACATGGAGGAGCTGAGCACATCTAGAGCACAGAGCTAATGAGGGGATGCTCTTCAGCCCCTGGTGTAAACCTGTTTCTGTGCTTACACACCCCTCGCTTTGCTCCTGCTTAAGACCATGTTGCTGTTTCCCCCTTATAACCCATTGTAGATGTCATCTGCTCCGCCTGCAAACAAATTAATGATCAACACTCAACACAAAATTATTAGACTTCTTTTGCTGTAGCTAAAATTACGAGGCCCCTCTAAGTGGAGAGGTGTGATTGGAGCTCCTTAATCACAGGGTGGCAGATGGAGGATTTG